CCGACTAAACAATTACTACTATAATTCTTTAGCAGTGTAATTCCGAAAATACCCCTCATATTCTTAATGTAACTTACACATCAAGTTTTGATGAAAATACTTCCTAGAGCTTCTAGGACATACCAATATTAGGAGTGCCAATATTTTTCTGTAGTAATACCCTTAACATAATGATGACTAGTACCAATGACTTTGTTCTTCAAGCAAACTAACAATCTTGAGTACCTTGATTGTAACAACTTGTCATATTTCAATGTCATGACATCAAGTTTGACATTGTAATCTTTTAGAAACCAACATAGTTTAGAATACATCTTCCTCAAGCAATGTACCCATACTTAAAGATAAACCTGGATTAAATTGTTTCTGATCCAAGATTGTTTATTAAACAAAACATCCCCCATTCAAGCTATCTTCATAGAACTTAGCCAATAGGTTTTACTTCAAGACTCATTAGATATTTCATCTATGAACTTCTTGATGATCACAAACTCTAATAAACTTCCAAATAATGAACTGCCTTTCTGACAAGCTTTTGTTTTCTTGAGAATTTTCTTATTCAGTTCCTGCTAGCTTTTTAGAGTCTTTCACATTTTTTGGAGTATCAAACTGATGAGTTGATGTTTCAACATCTGGTTGAACATCAATTCCTTTCTCAATGAACAAATCACTAATATTTGATCCTGAAGTTAACATTACTAAAATTACTTCCCCAAGTAGATTAATTCAGAAGCATACCTTGTTCTCTTTTAAGTAATAAACAAGAACCTTTGAAGACTTCACATATAAGAGATTTTTCTTTGCAATAGATCACAAAAGAGAATTATATATATATATATATATATATATATATATATATATATATATATATATATATATATATATATATATATATATATATATATATATATATATATATATATATATATATATATATATATATATATATATATATATATATATATATATATATATATATATATATATATATATATATATATATGTGTGTGTGTGTGTGTGTGTGTGTGTGTGTGTGTGTGTGTGTGTGTGTGTGTGTGTGTGTGTGTGTGTGTGTGTGTGTGTATGTGTGTGTGCGTGCGCCTCTATCTACCAAGATACTCACCTTGCATTGAACTAATTAGATCCATAGACTAGATACTAGAGCTTTTGAAACTGCCTGATGTTGCACCTTCTGGTGTGACATCTTGACTTCATCTTCCTTGAACATCAAACAAGAGGATAAGCAATCAAATACTTGTGGAAGCCACAAATAACAACTATTTTTAAATCCTCTTTAGAACTTCAAACATCTTATTAGAGACAAAATATTATTCCTTGATGACATTTACCTTCAAACTTGATCACACAATTGACTTATATGTAAAACATTAGTCATTAGTCCTTTAGTAAGAAGACCATTACCAAAAAATTAGATAATCCATCATGTACTCTTCAGACATCCAATGCCCTTAATCTCTCTTTTTAGTATTATCACCCAAAGAACTAGTTGATAGAGTGAGACCAAACAAACCACCAAAAACACCTTTAATGAAGTTGAGTGTATGGAGCAGTCAGTGTCAAAATACCAATCATCTTAGTTGAAGTTTTAAGAATGGTATGAAAAATAAGGCATTATCACCTTTCCTGGGTTTTAACCACTGATTATTTAACCAATGTTGAGTTTGACATTTGAGGAAGTCAAACAAAAAGCCTGTTAAGATTAACTTTTCACATAAGAGACATCTTCAAAGCATGTATATGCCTTTAGCTTGAGTATTCTAATGTCTAGAAAAATATTGAGACATTGAGATTGACATCCTTAACTCAGATTTCCTTTCGAAGGAAACAACCTTTTATCACTTGACTTTTCTCTTTGTATGAAAACCCTATCCCTTTTTAGGCTTCCAATTATCTTCACTCTTGAAGAAACTTCTCCAACTGATCTGAACTTTCCTTACAGACTTGATCAAGATATCAAGTTTGAGGATCAATAGAGTCACCTTACCCTACAATTTATAGACGGTAGACAAACCTTCCTTCTCTTAAGACATAAGATACGAAATAGTCACCTCTTATTTTCTTCATGGTTGACAACCCTTTTTATTCTAGATACACAGACCTTTGAATAAAATAGCCAGCTCATCATGAGACAAAACTTCAATACATGAATATACATAAGAAATCCATCTTCCAGTCAACCCAATAACATTCTTGGTAAACTCATAAACATGATCACTTTCCTCATTAAACCAAGAAATAGAAAAACCCATACAATTGTTCTTTAAGATAGGTAGAGAATTATGCTTCACAAATATCCAAGACCTTCACACTCAGTCTACTGAACTTTGATATTGATTGGTCTTTACTCCAGTTCTAGCTTTTTCTTGAGCCTTACAGAGTTATTGATGTCAGTACAAATGTTCTGGACATTTGGTGTAGATATTCTGTCCATTATCCTCAAAGTCTGGTTGAATTGCTTTCCAAGGAACACAATAACAATAAGACACTCTTCACTAGAGACCAGAACACAAGCTCCCACAGATTTGGAAGAAAAAGTCATGCTTTTATTCTTCTTCAAGAGTTGTAACTTCTATGTCAAACCTCTTGAATAGAGAGTTGAGTTTCTTCCTCTTTCTCCTGAACTCTTTTCTCCGAAAATACGTAGATGTACTTTATGAGTGGACTTGAGAATTTCCCAAGTATCTTTAGACACAATACAAGTGATACTGAGTCTGAACAAAATCTTATCAATTTCATTGATTATGATATTGACAATTTTAGATTTATAAAGAACCAACTCACACTCTTCCCTTCTATCTCCTCAGAACCATGATTCTCCTATCCTGACAATTCTCCAAGATCTGTTGTCCATTGAATTCTAGAATGCTATCATTCTAGATTTTCAAGTGACAAATAGTACCAAAAAACATCTCCGTGAAGCTCACCCAATAGACTAGGGTGTCTGCTCTGATGTCAATTGAAATTCTGGCACTTGCAACACATGCTAATACTAATGACCCACACCAGAACACAATATCAAGACAAATGTTGTGACATCTGTTCCTGATACAGAATAATACCAAACTGAAAAATAAATTGCAGAATGATAAATAACATAGCAGATTGTTAACCCAGTTCGGTGCAAAGTCACCTACTCTGGAGGCTACCAATCCAGGAAGGAAATTCACTATGACAATACTAGTTCAAATCCCAAACAATCTCAGTTTACAACTTCTCGCCTAATCACTATTTTGTGTAACTTCTACCTAAAAATCACCATCTAGATATAAGATTCCTCTGTCAATTCCAATCACCGCAGTGATATACCTACAGCCACAAACCTTGTGACTAGACAAAAGAATCCAATAGAAGATTACACTTCAAATAAATAATACTTAGTCAAGACTCTTAACTAAGAACAATACTTAGTTTTGCTTAAAAGCTTCAACTAAGAACAATACTTAACTCTTTGCTTAAAAGCTCATGAGTGAGAATAATAGGTTGATAAACAAGCAATAATAACTTGATAAACTATCAAGTAACAAACTGTCTACCACACTGTATCAAAAGATATGTGGGTGACTTACAAAGAACACAAGAGACTCTCAAAACCTAAGACTTAGACTTCCCCTAATTTTACAATTGTGAAAAGTTGAATTACATTAGGTTAGGTCTTCTCTTTAAATCCCCCTCAACATTCCATGGGCTTCGAAATCTTTACCCAATTATTCCTTGATCCACAAGCTGAGGGCTGCACTAATTATGTAAAAAAAATCTCCTTAAATCTTGGAACAAATCTTTAAGATTCCTAAATTGTCTCGATAACCAATTTTAGAAACTTTAATGTTGTTGTAGATTTGATTCACTTGTTCCAGATTCAACCCTCTTGACCTGCGTAAATATTTGTAATATATCCAAAAGAGATATCACAAAATCAATCAAATCTGTCAAGATTTAAAACAGTCTGCATTGCTATTCTGTTTCAGGATGTTACGACATCTTTTAGAACATCTGTCTTCAGTGTAGGCTCATAATGTGCTCTATCAGTTTGATCAAGATGTTTTGACCTCTTGCTTAACATCTTTCAGAAACCATGTTTTAGCAAAATTACTGTTAATCCTAAAACCATGGATCTAGGAGAGTCAATAAAAGAGTTAATAAATACACAAATACTTAAGGTAATTTCTTTGTCAAAAAAGGTAATATCATTTAAAATATCACAGTATAATAATCAAATACAAAAATATAATTAACATAGATAAATATGCTCAAAGACATTTTTTATTGATAAAACTTACAAGAGGTATTTGTTCAGGAAAACTATAATTATTAAATAAATATGTTTCACAATTTTCATATGCCTTAAATAAACCCTCAAACCTCCTATATATATAAGAGAAAATTAAGAAATCCAAACTTCAAACTTATTACGATCGAATATAAAAAATAAAAAAAAATAAAAAACAAGTGGCCAACAAATCAATATAACCAAAGCAAAAAATAAAGTATCCAATTTCATCCTCAGTATTTATTAGACACAAAATTCAAAGTAGCTTTAATAGTTTACAGAAAAAAAAAAAAAAAAAAAAAAAATATATATATATATATATATATATATATATATATATATATATATATATATATATATATATATATATATATATATATATATATATATATATATATATATATATATATATATATATATATATATATATATATATATATATATATATATATATATATATATATATATATATAAACATTCAATTTTAATAAAAAAAACACATACTAGATTTCAAGGGGAAGAAATTCAACCCAACGGTATTCACATTTATGAATTAAGATAAGCTATAAAGGCATTTAAAAAAAAAAAATTTAAAACACATTGAAACTATTTTAAAAAATGATTTTAAATTATAAATAAAATTACATAAAACCTGAAATCATTATAGGACTTCTTATCTACACGCTTCTTCGTCTTTGAAGTCGCAGCACCAATGGCCACCTTAGAATCAGCCATAACTGTTTTCGCACCTCAACGTTTTTCAAACACCTACCGTTTCCTTACAAAACCACCCACTTCCGTTAAACTCCAACCCACTTCATTCTCTTCTTCCATTTTTTCTCATAGCCACAACAAACTTCACTTATCTTCTTTCAGAACCCAAACGCCATGCTTTGCTTTACAAGAAGTAACAGAATCAACAATTGAAGATGAAAAAACAGAGGAAACGCAGACATTGGACAATGTTAAGAAGAAGTTAGCTGTTTTTAACTTACCTTGGTCAGTGTCCGCGCCAGACATCAAAGAACTCTTCAAGGAATGCGGAACCGTAACCGATGTCGAGGTTGTTTCAAAATTTTGTTTTTTCTGTTTCTTGTTATTCGGTATTTTTTTTTTATCCATTTTATATTATTGTTATAATGTTTATGATTGGGTGGATAATATATTTGAATTTGTATATTACATGATTGTGTAATTCTGAGAAATGGGTTTTGTTGATAATTGTAGATTGTAAAAAGGAAAGATGGGAAGGGAAAAGGTTATGCATTTGTTACTATGGATTCTGGAGAAGGGGCTCAGGCTGCTGTTGAACAGTTTGATGCTCGTGTAAGTTGATTCAATTTTCAACGTTTGTGTGTGTGTTCTGTTTGGTCTAATTATTAAGAATTTGAAATGAATTGGGGTTATGTTTTTTTGTTCTAAAATTGGATGTTTGTTGTTTCCACTTTTTAGTGTTTTCAAATTATTATGTGTCTGTATCTTGTTTGGTGTCTGTATTAGTACTTCATAGTTTGTATTAGGTGTCTAGTAAAATAGTTACTTTTTATCAGCCAACATGACTTGGATACTTGGCTGATACTCAACCATGGTTTGGTACTTTAAGGACACAGATTTTTTTATAACAAAATATCTTTTTGCTGTTAAGGATTTTCGGAAAATTCAACATCAGGTAGAAAAAAATAGTTTAAACTTGAGAAATGTCAAGAAAGGTTGTTAAAAGACTTGATTTGTGATGTAGTTCTTGCTCTACTTGTCCTTGTGCTCACACACATCACATGTAGGATAATAAGGAATATGATAAATATTGCTTTTTGTATCGCATTGATCTTCTATTTGGGTATGATTATTCTGACATCCAATTGTGTGTTCAGGAAATATCAGGCAGGATAATAAGGGTAGAGTTTTCAAAGAGTTTCAAGAAACCTTCTCCTCCACCTCCTCCAGTCACCCCTCCAAGTCCCGCTCCTAGCGAAGCACGTCATGTACTTTATATATCCAACCTTGCATGGAAAGCAAGGTCTACACATCTTAGAGACATCTTTGCCGAGAATTTCAAAACACCAGTTTCAGCCAGGGTCGTCTTTCAAACCCCTGCTGGGAGATCTGCTGGGTATGGATTTGTTTCTTATCACACGGAAGAGGAAGTACAGTCTGCCATTGCTGCTTTGGAAGGGAAGGTAGTTATCATATCATTATTGATGCTCACTTGCTTATGCTATTTCTTTACAGATGTTGAATGATTTTCTATTCATGATTGATCTAAATTCTATGTGTCTGTCTTTAATCCCTTTACAGGAGTTAATGGGACGGCCACTTCGCGTAAAAATAAGTGAAAAGAAAGTTAAAGAAGCTAGTAATGAAGAAGGTGAAAACCAAGATGCTGATGCGCAACTAGAAGGTGAAAACCAAAATACTGATGCTCAACTAGAAGGTGAAAACCAAGATGCTGATGCGCAACCAGAAGGTGAAAACCAAAATGCTGATGCTCAACTAGAAGGTGAAAACCAAGATGCTGATGCTCAATTGGAAAAATCATAGATCATAATTTTTCATTTACTGATTTTTGGGATCGAGAAGCAACATCTACAAGCTGGGATTTTACCTCTGTATGTATACATAGATACGAAAGATGGTTTCTTGCATTCACATTCTTTTTGAACTAGGTTGAGTTTGACACATTGAGACTAGTAATTTATTTCAATTTTTGTTTTGAAACCACTTATCTCCAAAATCTGAACTATTTTTTGTAAACCATTGAAGTTTGGTGCCATGTTGGAGTTAGTTTTCATGGTCACTATATGTGTGATATTAGATGAAACAACCGGTCGAACCGTCATCTGATGTAAAATCAATGAAGTCGTCACCGAACGTCTTTTATCCCGCCGAAAGGAAAAGGTAAACATCGAGAAAACCTGAAAAGGGAGAAATCACGGTCTTTCGACCGAGAGATCGGGTAAGGGAGTCTGTTACGCGAAGGGAAGGTATTAGCACCCCACACGCCCGTAGTACTCTACGGTATCCACTCTTGTTGTCTAATCTGATGGGTGTGGTCAAATCCTATGTCTATGGTTTAAAACTGAAAAGAGAATGCATGCGAAAGAAAAAGGAAAACAATGTAGGGAAAATAAAAAGTTGTGCTCGACCGGACCCTACCCTAATGCCTACGTATCCCTTTTTAGGAATCAGAGCAGCCATAGTTCGGCTTACATGTTTTGGTTGGTTTGTGTTTTTTAGTTAAGGCAAACAAAAACAATCAAGATGGAAAAACATCGAATGAAACAACAAACAAATGAGATAATCAAACATTGACTAAAATAATAACATAGTAACATGTCACGGATGGCGAAACATCAAATGATAAAAAACGGATGACAAAACATCACACCTAGCAATGATATTGAGAATCAAAGCAGGATAACAGGCAGTTGTGATGGCGAAACATCGGCTTTAAACAAATGTGCGATGGAGAAACATCGGTTAAGAGATAATAAAGTATCATAGCAAAGATGATAAAACATCAATAAATCGGATGACGAAACATCACACCTAACAATGATATTGAGAATCGAAGTAGGATAACAAGCATGTGCGATGGCGAAACATCGACTTCAAACAAATGTGCGATGGCGAAACATCGGCTAAAAGATTGCACAATATCATGGCATATGTGGCGAAACATCAATAAAACGGGTGACGAAACATCACACCCAACAATGATATTGAGAATCAAAGTAGGATAACAAACATGTGCGATGGCGAAATATCGGCTTCAAACAAATGTGCGATAGCGAAACATCGGCAAACCGGGTTTAAAAACAAAACCAAGAGGCGCACAAAAGAAATAAGATTGATTTGTATCTTTTACCTTGAAGAAGGGTTTGCGTTTATTAGAGGTTTTTTATGATTTGCCAAGAAAACAATTTTTGTTTTAAGATGCAAAATGCAAAGAAAGGAAAAAAATAACTAAGGGAAACTAGCCTAGCACTATCCCTAATGTTATCATACAATGGTTGACCCTAAGGTTGAGGATAAAGGAAATTCCTATCCTATGTTAGCATACATGGATTCTTACCTTAATCAACATGTCAAAGGAAGCTTAACAAAACTATCCTATAGGGAACATGCAATGAGAGCGAAGTCGTGATCTCAATTTCTAAATTGAGTGACTCATCGATCAACAATTAAAGAAGAAAACAATAAACATCCTATAGGGAACATGCGATGAGAGCGAAGTCGTGATCTCAATTTCTAAATTGAGTGACTCATCGATTAACAATTAAAGAGGAAAACAATAAACATCCTATAGGGAACATGCGATGAGAGCAAAGTCGTGATCTCAATTTCTAAATTGAGTGACTCATCGATCAACAGTTAAAGAAACAAACACAACACATATATCAGACAAAAAACCAGAGGGCCTCCTGACATATATCAGCAACAAAGGTCCCATCATGCAACATAGAACTATGAAAGTAGAAGAAAGAAAATAGTGCAATTCCAAACAGATAACTACCCGTAGCAACTGAGCGAGAATAAAAGAAACCCAGAGAGCTTCAAGCGAGTTGGCATCAGCAGACAAATCAAGTCAGAAATTACGCCATCAGGATGTAAGTAATGGGATTATCAGATATGAACAGATCCCATGGGTAATGTATGGCATTCATAATCACATATACATATATCCTGCATAAACTATAAACATGCCAAGCACAAGAATAGTGTCAATATAATAAATTGTGTTCCACAAATAAAGTGAAACACAGTAGCCTCAAACCAAAAATGGAAACTTTCCTCAAAGTACCTTGCACATTTAACAACCAAGTTAGTATTCCATAAAGTGAATGATGACTCACATAAGGGATGGATGAAACATGATGAAGTGAGAAAAAACATGATAACAATTATCAAAGCATTAGGTATGGTAGGCCAAAAGAAACAAGCATATGCACAATTAGGTCAAAAATTAGAGGAATGTTGCTCCTTTCTATCACCATGTTGAATTGACAATTGAATACCAATAAAGGATCATGGGAGCTTAAGAAGAATACAATCAAAGACCATGAAGGTCAGTAGCAAACACAATTCAATCATGCACAATTAATTCATCATAACTCACAAGCATAATAGAAGAGGAATTCCACACAGTGCATCAAAAAGGTTCAAACATTCAAACATGAGACATTAAATAAAATGACTTGAGATATCATGGATAATCAGAATCAATATGATCATTAGGTGCCCCATCATAGGCCTCACTCAAGTTCATTGGCCATCAAACAAATTTGCAACAAGATATGCAACACTAATTGGGTACTTTCACTTCAAAAATACATAAAAAAATAGAAACAAGGATCAATAATTCAAACCAAAAAATTCTTAGCACCTTTGAAGTGTGTAGAAGTCAGAAAACAAGCCTCATGTTCATGGATGGTTGAGAAGGGGTTCAAATGAGGCCCAAAGTTCAAAACTAGTTGGCAAAACAACCAAAACTAGACAAGTTTTCAAAATAATTTGTGGAAAAATGTCAAACCAAGTCAAATAAATCAAGAAAAATGTTTTTCAGATCCTCAATGCATTCATGAACCAAAATCAAGACTTAAATCCCATTGGAAGTCCAAGGAATAAGGGTTTTGAAAAAGAAACTTGCACAATAAACAACAAAACCCTAATTTTTGACTTTTAATCTTAAATATTGATTAAGTAAGATCAATATTCAAAAAATACAAACCAAGATCATGCAAGACTCAAGGAAACCCTAAATGTCATAATACATTTTTTTTCACATTTTTTTTGAATTAAAGAAAGGTCAAAAATAAAATTAAATCCAAACAAATAATCAATTAATCCAATAAACTCATCTCAAAATGAAATTCTAAACAAAAATCAGAAAAATGTCCAACCAAAATTATATTCAAATATTATAATCAAAAACACACATCCCTAATTTTTTGTAGAATTTTTGAATTAAGAGAAATATTAAAATCAAAATCAAACAAAACAATTAACAATTAAACTATTATTTAAAGGCAAAAATGAAAACCCTAGCCAAAAATTACAAAAAAGTTAAAATAAAATTATATTCAGAGTCTATGATTGAAAACAAGCTTGCATAATTTTTTTGAGAATTTTTAAATTAAAGGATGTATTAAAACCAACATTCTAGAACAAATATTTCAAATAAACTCTTGAAATTAAATTTCTAATAAAAAATATAAAAAATGCTAAACAAATTTCAGAATCAATTTCTAAATCATTTTATGAGTCCAAAATATTTTTTGTAGAATTTTTTTTAGGTCAAAGAAATATTAAAACAAAAATAATTCCTAAACAAACAATTATTTAAATTCATTAATTTTTAAACCAATCAAAACATTTTTTTTAAATTCCAATAAAATTACACAAGATAGTAGAAATTATTTTGAACTTGTGATAATTTTTTTAAAATTTTCTAAATTGTTTTGGTCAAGAAATAAAAATCAGAAAGTCAATTAAAACAAAAAATATGAAAAATGCATGATAATTTGAAACAGGCCAATCACAGCGCGCCACCTCACTTCATCTTCAACCTCTAGCATAGGGCAAAACGCGTGCAATACCACAGTTCACGAGCCTATGTTCAGATCCATCAATCATGCTCGTTTCTTAACCAAAATCCATGAAATAAAGTTCAAACTAAAGCTGACATATCATACTACATGATGCAATTTGAATCAAACTCAAAGATCAAGCATAGATCAAGAAATAAAGTCCCAAAAACTGGAAAAACTCACTGTTGTACACCAAAATTTGCCCTCGCATTTTTTCCACAAAGAAATCTCAGCTTCAGCCTTTCCTGATTTTTTCAAACTGACCCAAGAATTGGACAAACGGACTTTTCTTGACAGTCAAGCAAAATTAGGGTTTTTACTAATTTTCAGAGCTCTGGATTGTTTCACAGTTGGCTTAGGGTTTTGGATGATTTTTGGTTCAATTTTGATCAGGCGAGTGTTATTTGGCATTTAATCAGGAATTAAGGGTTTTACGGGCATATTCTCAGAAAGGTTGAAATTCCACAGTACTTTGCGGTTTATTCCGAGATTCGGGTTGAATTTGCATTGTTCATAATTTAATCAGTAAGAGGAGGCAATTGGTTTGAATTCACCAGTCAAAAGATATGTGCAGTATTGGATTCACAGTGTTTATGGCAAATCAGTGAAGAAGGAATGCGTTTGATCAGTCTATTTGGGTTAACTACTGCTTTACTTTGGATATTGGAAAAGACAGGTTTAATTGATCAATATTGTTTTTATTTAAGTTATTTATTATTCTAAAATTGAATGATTGAAATTTATTTTTCAATTGTTTTAATTCAAAGAGTTTTAAATAAATAAATAAACAATAAAGAAAATTAGAATTAATTGGATAATTTAGATTTTATTGATATTTGAATTATTTGTACAAATTGTTGTTTATAATTTAAATTACAAACAATGATATACATTAATTTAAATATTCAATAAAATAAAAAGCTATCCTATTTCTAATATTCTTCATTCTTC